AGGCAGGTGCTGCGCAAGCGAGCGGCGATCCAGGGGGACAGGCCCGACCTGAGGATGGGCCCGGGGCCCCGAGGAGGGCAAGCAGAGCCACATCTGCGACCCCTTGCCGAGGTCCCCGAGGAAGAAGAAGGATTGTTCCCGATGATTGACCCCTGGGAGGTGGTCATATATTGACTGACGCATCGAGCAGAGGCCTCCCAGTGTCTCAGCAGGTCCTGGGTTCTGGCGCCTCGGGGGGTTGGCAAGGCGGCCGGGTCAACCCGCCCCCCGGTCCACGTTGTGTTCCCCCTCCTCCCCCCTCGCCCTCCTCCTCCCTCCTCCCCCCCCCCTTTCTCCTCCCCTCCTCCCCTTCCTCGTGGGGGTGCGTGGGCCAGGGGGTCGGGTTAGCGGGCGCGATGCTGATCCCCCGGTGGCTGAGCGGCCGCGTCAGGGGCAACGCATCCCCCAAGGGGTACGGCAAACCCACGCCCTCCCCAGGAGGGCGCCCCCTAACGGGTATTGCTCGGGGAGGGGACTTGTGCCGTATGTTCGGGTGCTGGCGGATAGTGCCACATTGTGATCGTCCCCTCTCCTGTTCTTCTTGTGAGTGCGGGGGCGGGACTGCTCAAACCTCCCCGGATTCCATGCCAGACAGGGCGGTTGGGGCTACGGTTGTTTCCCTCTTGGCCCCATCCGGGGGGTAGGCCGGGGGAGCCCATGGTCCAGGGGCGACCCGGCTTCTGTTGTCTAAGTGTTTGTGTGTTTCCGATGTGGTGCCCATTGCGGACCCCAAGTAGCCGGTTGAGGCAGTTTGATGCGATCTTCGACGTGCACATTGGGAAACCAACAACGAAGCACCCAACTCATTATTTTGTGATTTAGAATGTGGTTGCGTGTCTCAACAGATTACTCTGGCCCCTGCGCATCGATGATCTAGCGTTACGGACAGTCCGGCTTGGGAGTTCGTTTTGCCGCGTTTCCGGGCGGATGGCCCCAGCGCCAGTGGTTTTGTCTAAGGACCATATGAGGGGAGCAATTTCACTGCGCCCGGCACCGGATTCCTCTGGTTGCCTGCTCCCCCCAAACCACCCCTCCGCGGCGGGGTTTGTTGCTGGAACGCAGAGGGGGGTTGGGGCAGCGGGCTGGCCTGGTCGCGGGGGCGGTGGCGGAAGTGTAGTAGCAACTGCCCGAAACAACGGATGTTTGTTTTTTTTTGGGGGGGGGGGGGCTTCGGTGTTTTTGTCGTTGTTTGGGGTGCCGATCGGGTCAGTGGCTCTCCGCTTCTTCCAAAGGGAACAACAAGTGACATAAACATAAATACTACGAGGTCCGCGCGGATTTCTCGGATCGGCGCTGGACCCCCCCTCCCTGGCGCGCGGAGGGCGCCAAGGGCGGCGCCGGAGGCGCCGCCAGGGGCTCCAGCGCGGATCCGAGAAATCCGCGCGGACCTCCGAGTTTTTATGTTAATATCATTTTTCGTTTCCCTGTTCCACTTCCACTGGGGGCCTTCATTCTCCGTTTCTCGTTTCGGGTCCAGCGCGGCGTCCCGGGAGGTTCCTCCCTGCCGGCCCGGGGGCCGCTCGCGGCCGTCAGCCCGGAGGACGAGGACGAGGACGAGGACGAGGATTGATCTTCCCGCCGCGCACTCGCGGGTACGACGAGGCCCCCCAGAGAACCCCGCGGCTTCCAGGGGCCTTCCGAGGCCAGGATGGCTTGGGAACGCCAGCCTGGCCACCTCGCCCCATCCTGGCCAGGTCCATCCCGGCCACGGGTCGGTGTCATTCGCCCCCCTGGCTTGGCCAGGGAGGCGCCCACACTCAGGAGTGGGAAAAAGCACACAGAGACACAATGAGTCGTCGACTCCCAGGAAAAAGTGGGAAAATATGGGAAGTGGGGGAGGGGAGACGAGAACCCCGAAGATATGGGAAAATATGAGGAATCCTGTTGTTTGTGTGTATTTACTGGTGTGTCCCAGGGCCCCATTCACACTTTCGCCGACCCTGCGCTCCCCGCGGGCCCCGCCCATGGTCGGTGAGGTGGTGCCTCCATGCCTCCACGGCGACTGCGCCCTCCTCCTCCTCCTCCTCCTCCTCCTCCTCCTCCTCCTCAGCCGCCGTTTCCTGCTCTAGCCCCTTTCTTCGCGGCCCAGCAGGCACCCCACGCAGAGCTGCTTCCGCCCCCAGGGCACCCTTCATGTCATGCCAGCGCGGCTGGCCATCCATATTTCCTTCGCTCGCGATCTCCTGGACGATATTACTGAGCTGGGGTGTGTCTATCCCGCTCAGCACGGTCGCGCCACCGAGAAGCTTTCAGCTGTTTCCAATCATGGCCAGCTCCAATTACGGCAAGCGCAACTGCAACTACAGCCGCGCGACCAGAGCACGCCCCAGTGTTCAGGAGAGGGTAGTTCACTTTGCAGCAGACGGCCAGCACGGGGGGTTTAGTGCTCGCCAGCTCGACCTAGAGGAGGAGAAGCGCATCCCGAAAGAGACCTCCCACGAGTTCTCCACAGAGCACAACC